GCCCACGACTCTCGGGACCTGTGCTCTCAGGCCCACGCAGCCGGCCGAGGACACGCACCCCTCAGGGCCACCAGAGCCTGCGTCCCCGGCCCAGCTCCTAGCCCCAGATCCCTGGATTCCCCCACCAGCAACAACATCCACACCCCGACGTCCGCCTGACCCCCGCCTCACCCCGAGAGCCCTCCCCGAGGAACTGCCTCTGCGTCCTCCCCTCATCCCGGCCTCTCCCTGAAGAAGGCCCCAACTTGCCAGCAAGGAAAGGGATCCAGACCAGCGCTGCTGCCATGGCTGCCCCGGCCTGGCCGGCCAGTGAGTGACAGAGACAGGAGCGGGAGGCGGGGTGGGGGAGGGACAGGGAGGTGTCCCAGAGCAGCTGGAGCCCTCCCCTCCCCACGCGGAGCGGGGACTGTCTCTAGGATGGACACTCTCCTCACATGACAAGGTTCCCTCAATCGCCCCTCCCGGCGGCCAGAGCATGTTGTCTACCCCCAACCTGACAACCACAGCGCCCCCCAAAACCGCAATGCTCCCACTGCCTGGGCTCCAGCTGCTGCTGGCCTTCGGCCTTTCCTGTGCCCGACCATCCTGCCTAGAATCCCCCTCCCCCTGCCTGGGCTCCAGCTGCTGCTGGCCTTCGGCCTTTCCTGTGCCCGACCATCCTGCCTAGAATCCCCCACACACACACACACACATACACACACATACACACACATACACACACACATACACACACACAGAGGACCGGCTTCTGCCCAGCCTCGCTCTGCTGCCTTCTAATCGGATACCCTCTTCCTCAGTCTGCACACCTTTGCCCAAGCTGTGCCCTCTGCCTGGAGTTCCCTTCTTGCCCTCGGCCATCAGCAAACTTCCACTCACCCCTCACGACTCAGCACGGACATCGCCTCCCCCCTGAACCTCTCTTCCTCCCCGAGGCCCAGCGGAGGGCCCTTCGCCCCCGTGACAGCCCAACCGCACAGTGTTTGGGGTGAACTAGGATCTCACCTTTGCACCCCTGGACCTGGTCCAGGCCCTGGCGACTAGTAGGTAACAGCTTCCTCCACAGCACACGAGGGTGCCTGCTCCCCCAGCTCTCATCCCCAGACCAAGCACCTCCAACGAGTACCCCAGGTCTGAAAAGAGAGAGAGAGGCCTGGACCAGGCCCAGCCAGGAAGAGACCAGGGAGGGGGACACAGGCTGAGAGGCCCAAAGGCCTGGACATGGAGCCACCTGGACCCCTCACTGCAGACGTGGCCTTGAAAGAGCCCCTTGCCCTCTCTGGGCCGTTTCCACAACGGGCGAGAATAGCACTCGCCTCTCGGTGTCCTTGTGAGGGACCCACGAAGTCATGAACTCAGCACATGTTAAAGGAGCAGCTGCCGGGGAGCGGGCCCTGAGGATGCGGAGGTGAGCAGACTCCGGACCGCGTGGGGCTTGCATGCCGGCGGGCAGTGACAGCTCACCCCGGCCAGTCACATGCTGAAGGTCCCACATAGATTTACACAGAGCAACTCATTCCATCTCACAGCAGCTCCATGTGGTGTTAGTATTGTCCCCACTTACAGGTGAGCAAACTGAGGCCCAGGGAGTGTATGGCTTCCCCAAGGCCACACCACTGCCCACTGAGTACCTGCAAAGCACGCAGCTCAGTTCTGAATCAATCCAGGGCACCCCTTCCTTCTGCACCTGCCAAAGGACCTAGAGCAGGTGTGACGGGGGTACCCTTCCTTCTGGGGGCTTCCCCCTCGGAGCAGGCAGAGGGGCATGCTCCCCAGGTGCCCTGAGAAGGAGGAGGGGCTCATGGGTGCCAGGGCTTCAAAACTCTTGGTGTCTGTGTAAACACGGCATTGAGAAAAAGGGCATTGCCACTTCACCCTGGCAAATGCCCCGGGCAAGGATATCTGGGACCTGCACTGCCGAGAGCCTGAGGGGGCAGGTGTTGGCCTGGCGAGCAGGTGACTTAGTCCTTGTCCCTTCCTCTCTCTCCCACCTGACTGTCCCACCGGTCCCTAGAGAGCCAGCAAATTCCAGAGTCAGCGTCCACTCAGCCTGGCAGGCAGGACGGCGTTTGTCCCAGAGACACCTTGGCACCTCTCTGACTCCTCGGAGATGGAGGGCAAGAGGGAGGAAGATTCTGCTGGCAAAGCGAGAGGCGGCGGGCTCTGGGGGAGCAGGCAGAGGCGCCAGCGCTGGCCAGCTGCCCAGGCCTCAGCCCCTCAGCAGCACATGTGACTCCCTCCCTCTCCCTGCTGCCTCCCCTGCTATTTTTGGAGCCACCCACTCACACCCTCAGCTGCCTTAAGGTGGCAGTGCCCGAACCCAGTGCCACCAGGCCCAGAGGAGCCGGCTTCCCTTACTGATCCGCTTCCCCTCCCCCAAACCAGGGGCACCAGGGACTGTGCCCGGGACCAGCTCGAAGTCCCCTGAAAGTCCCCTCTGGCCCACCAGGGGACCTCCCCCCGTCAGAGCTGTCTGGATTGCAACCTGCTGTTGTGACACTCAGCACCTTCTATTCCTTGGGGCCTGTAGGTAGAGAGAAGGGTCACAGCCTCTGTAAACATATTTTAGAAATTTGTAAATAAAACAAATATACAGGCTAACAACATGAGCCCCCACATATCCATCACCCAGCTTCACCAATCATCATGGCCAGTCTGGTTTCATCTATACCCCTCCCAATTTCCCCCTCCTATTTAATTGCCTCTCTTAGCATATCAGTATGTAACTTTGGAAGAGAATAATTTTTTTAACATAATCACATGATTAGACCTTAAAGTTAAGAATTCCTTAAGATCAGATCTGTAGAGTTCAAATTTATAATTCTTATAAATGCCTTCTTCTTCTTTTGTTTTTGCAATGTATTGGTTTGAATTGGGTTTCAAATGAGGTGCACAGGCTTCTTTTAAATTTCTAGGTTCCTGTTCCAACTCTCTCTCTCTCTCTCTCTCTCTCTCTCTCTCTCTCTCTCTTTTCTTGAGGGGGCCGGGTTATTTGCTGTGTAAATTTCCACCGCTTGGGTTTTGCTGATTGCATCTCTACGGTGTTCTTTCCCATGCTCCCCTGGCCTCTGAACTTCTTCTAAATTGTATTTCCTGTGTGTTGTTATTTCTCATAAACTGTAATAGGGTCGAGTGCCGATCAGGTGCAGGTTCCATTTTCTTTGGCAAGACTGCTTCATAGGTGGCAATGGTGTTTCTTCCACCCAGCGGCACAGCAGCCATTGCTCTCAGACCTCATCCATCTGCTCATTTGTTATTTGTTATTATTATTATTATTATTTTACAAAATGGTGATATTCAAAATCACTCTTTCCTTTATTAGCTGGAATAATTCTAAACAGGAAAACTGCCCCTCCCTTCCTGTTTGGTTATTGAGTGATATGCAGCTCTTATAGGAAAGACAGGCCAGATCCTTGACTCTCTTCCTATGTTTGCCAATTTCCAAATAATGAGTTGGTTCTCTAGCGCCCTCTAAACTGTGACCCATTAGCTTTTTAAAATTAGTAGTATAATTATGAATGTATGGCTCTAAATGTATTCGATTGCTTCAATCGGTTGCGACTTGTGTCCCATCTTGAGCTCCTGATTTGGGCCTCACCAAACCAGTTGGAGCATCCATCTGGGGTACTGGAGGGCCAGGTCTCTGCCTCTCGACCTCTCTTAACCCTTGTTCCCACAAGGCCACCCCTGCCCCTCAACTATCTGTGCTGCTTTGCCATCTGCACCTGTCTCCCAAGCGTTCTGTCGGATCTTGGCCCTTCAGTGTCTCAGCTCAATCCCTCTGGTCCTTGGACCCTGTCTCTCCCCATCTCAGTGAATGTTTGCTGAATGAATGAATGAATGAATGGTCTCCCCAACTCTGTCTCATCTCACGTCCGTCTCTATGAACCTGTCTCTTGATATTTTCTTTGTCTGCATCTAAGACAGAGGATGAGTCTTCCTGGCCAGGCAACCAAGAGCAAAGGCGGTCAAGGAGGTTCTGGGACCCCAACCTCACCCAGCAGATCTCCTGGACCTGGGCTCCACGCCCTCCCACAGTTCCCAGACCAGGCGGGCTGTTTCCTGCCTCCCTGCCTTGCACATGCAGTTCCCTCCACCTCCAAGCCCTTCCTCATCTTTCAAATCCTAGCTTGGCTTTAACTCCACTGGAGAACCTTCCCTGAGTCACTTGGGGCTCCCCCTGCATCCTGCACCCACCCCAGTCACAGCTGTTTTCTGGATGATGCTCTCACGGGGCTGTGAGGTCTTGGGGATGCTAGCTTTGCCTTTGTACCCCAGCCCCTGACACAGACAGGTGCTCAGTAATTCCAGAAGGAAGGGAAGGGAGCAAAGAAACACCTCTCATAGGACTGGAGAGGATCTGGACCATGAGCACCTGGCCAGGGCTGGGCACGGAGCAAAGCCCACTCACTCCCTTCCTGCCGCCTCCACTTGAGCTTGGGCTCCAGCACCTTCTGCCTCATCTGGTTTGGAGCCGGCTCAGGGGTCATCTCCATACCTGCAGGCCTGTGTCTGTTGCCCATTTGGATGCAAGGTACCCTCCTATTTCTGAGCAGAGCGCCTGGCAGGATGTCCCTGCAGCATGTGGAGGAAAGAGCAGAGGGCTCGGATCCTAGAGGCTGTGTACAAGTCCTGGTCACCGCGTCCCCGCTTGTGCCCTGAAGGAACCTCTGGTAATACAGCGACAGTTACAAATGCACAGAGGGCCCTGGAGCCTCCTGGGTTCATGAAAATGGGGACCACACACATCAGCGGCAGAGACCGTCCTGAGTCCCAATCCAGCTCTGCTCCACCCCAGCCGAGGGAAACGCCCAGGCTTGGATCTGACCTGTGAAATGGGAAGGATGTGCTGGGCTGGCTCCCGGTGGACAAGGCTGGGCAGCAGAGATGACTCTTACCTTCTGCAGTAACAGGAATGGGCCAGCAGATGGCGACAGCCTCTGCCGCCTCCCAAGGCAGGCAGCTGGGCAGAACGGAAACCACAGGTAGATCCCCTTCAGAAGGGGTAAGGGGGAGGCTGAAGGATGCCTTTGGGGCCAGGTGGGCATCCCGCTGCCCCGGGGGGACTGCTCCGCCTGCTACTCTGCAGATGGGTCCCCTCTGGTGGCCGCACTGCGCAGGCTGAGCCCTCCAGGAGCTGGACGTCAGCACAGACTCAGTGCTCACAACGTTTCTGAGAGAGGTGGGGGACCAACGGGGGGGGGGGGGGTCCACCTGGTGTCTGCACCCCTCTGTCTAAGGGGTCAACCCACTGGCCCCTCCCAGACAGGTTTGAGGACCCTGGGGCTGCAGGCAGGACCTGGGGGACCAGTGACAGTCTGGGGCCCGGGCTCAGCGGGTCCTTGGAGCTGCAGGGAGCACTGAGGGTGCTGTGCGCGGAAAGGGGGCTCCAGAGGCTGAGAGATGCTGGCACGGAGGTGGAGTGGCATCAGGGACTTGGCAGGCCGCACCGGGCCAGAGCGAATGCAGGAAGTCGGCCGGTTTGCAGATGCCGGTTTGCAGACCCCGAATCAATTTCTTTTCGAGGTAAAACAAAATCAGCCAAGGGAGGCAGGCGGTGGAAGCCAGAGACAGGAAAAATAATGATACTTTGTATTCTAAGCCACAAACCCCTCTCCCCAATGCAGGGGGGCTCCACCAAGGTTCCCAGCTGGGAGGGGCGCTGGGACAAAGAGAGCAGCCACCCAGAGGCCCTGGGGCAATGACGGGACCCCTGTGCTCTGAGGCTGGAGGAGGGGTGTGGGTGGCAGGGGCAAGCCCATCAGAGCAAATGGCCCTAAAGTGAAGGGCCACCTACCCAGAGGTCACAGGTGAAGGAGGCACAGTCTGTGGGCAGCCCAGGGTTCTGTTTTTAGCTCTGCCCTTTAACTGCTCTGTGCCCTCGAGGAAGTCGCTCACCCTCTCTGTGCTTCAGGAGCCTCACCTGAATACAATGGGCCACAGCTGCTCGCAGCACTTGCCCTGAGGGGATTCCACTTCCTCATCAACACCCCTGCCTCCCCACCCTCCCCTCCCCCAGCCTTCCAGGGACTGCATAGGCCCCTCTAGACCTCTTGCACGGACTACCCACAGGCCTTTGCTGTCCTGTCTCCTTCTCAGTCCCAGCTGCCACAGACCCAGCAGGAAAGAGAGGGCACGCACACACCCTTTTCTGGAAGGACTTTGGCAAAGGGACTGTTGACAGGTGGGAGAGCAGGGCCAGACAGCCAACCAGGGAGGTGGCACCCCAGAAACAGACCAACTGAGGTCTCAAGGGGTGGGGCCACGAGGTCAGGGGTAAGCGGGCACTTGTACAAGGGGGCGGGGCCACTCACTCAGCCAGCTGTGGGCATCTGATCAAGGGGGCAGGGCCACGGCCACGAGTTCCCCTGGAATTGGGTTTCTGATCAAGGGGGTGGGTCCATGTGATTGGCCGGAAGTGTGCACGTGAACAGGGGCGGAGCCACGTGATCATGCGGGAGTAGTCACGTGAGGACAGAGGGCCCACATCAAGATTGAAGGGATGGGGCCAGGAGCCCCCAGAAGCTGAAGAGGCAGGAAGGACCCTCCCCTGGAGCCCTTCGAGGGACCACAGCCCTTGACACCCTGATTGCAGATTCTGGGCCCAGAACGGGAGAGCACATGTTCCTGTTTGTTTAGGCCAGTCTGTAGTCATGGGAGCAGCAGCCTCAGGAAATGCACCCCTCCTTGCCCCACCTTTTGGGGCTTTGGGTTCTGAGAACAGCTGAGCCCTGTGCCCCGGCACAGGAGACCCCCTAGACCTCTCACTGCGGGAGCTCACAGGGGATTCACCCCTGTGTCTGTGCCTCGGTCTGGTCTCTCACTGCTCCTTGGCAGGGACAGTGCAGTGGGCACACCAGGGCAGGCTGCTTGGTGGGAAGGGCAGGCTACGTGGCTCAGGGACTCCTCCCCTTGCCGAAACCCCAGCTGCCAGATGATGCAGGGAACTCCCCAGCCCCGCCCTTACTTCCTGGGCCTTCCCCCTAATGAGTCCAGCCTGGGGCTCCCATCCTGGAGCACCTGGGTTGACAGGAGCCAGCAACTGGGTTGTGGTGCCCATATTCCAGATGCCAACACTGAGGCTCAGAGAGGGGGAGCAGAGGTCCCTAGCCTCAGCCCACCTCCCCCTCAACTCAGCCCAGCTCACAGGGGGCTACCCCAGCTGCTGCCTGGTTGCCATGGTGTTAGAGGAGGAGATTTCTGAGAAACAATCCAAAACACACACCAGCTTCCTCACTCCCTCTCTCCAGCTTCAAAGCCTCCTTTTGTGCAGGTAAGTGGGGACCTCTTCCTGGCCAGGCAGCCAGGAGCAAAGGTCAAGGAGGCAGAGGGTCCACGTAGTGGGTTCTAGGACCCCAACCTCACCCAGCAGATCTCCTGGACCTGGGCTCCACGCCCTCCCACAGTTCCCAGACCAGGCGGGCTCTTTCCTGCCTCCCTGCCTTGCACATGCAGTTCCCTCCACCTCCAATGCCCTTCCTCATCCTTCAAATCCTAGCTTGGCTTTAACTCCACTGGAGAACCTTCCCTGAGTCACTTGGGGCTCCCCCTGCATCCTGCACCCACCCCAGTCACAGCTGTTTTCTGGATGATGCTCTCACGGGGCTGTGAGGTCTTGGGGATGCTAGCTTTGCCTTTGTACCCCAGCCCCTGACACAGACAGGTGCTCAGTAAATCCAGAAGGAAGGGAAGGGAGCAAAGAAACACCTCTCATAGGACTGGAGAGGATCTGGACCGTGAGCACCTGGCCAGGGCTGGGCACGGAGCAAAGCCCACTCACTCCCTTCCTGCCGCCTCCACTTGAGCTTGGGCTCCCGCACCTTCCACCTCACCTGGTTTGGAGCCGGCTCAGGGGTCATCTCCATACCTGCAGGCCTGTGTCTGCTGCCCATTTGGATGCAAGGTAGTCACACCAGGATGCAGCTGTGCACTTGCCTTCATAGGAGGCAGTGTGTTTGGGAGAAAGGCCTCCATTCTTGAAATCCCAGACTGTGCAAACTTGCAAGGGCCTGAGGGCTGACCTTGAGCAGGGTTTTCAAAGGGTTTTCACAGGGAATACTCTCTGCAAACAAAGCCTTACCTGAGGGCCATTATATGAAACAGATGGAAACTCAGCTGCTTGGGGCAAAGGGGTAAGTGGTGGGTGTTGAAGGGTCTGGGAGAGGGGACCAGGGTCCTCTTTCCCCTGTAGCTCTGGGTCCCGGGGAGATGGGGGTTGGGGTTAGTCCTGGCGGTGGGATGGGGTGGCCAGGAGAGAGGGAGAGCCCTGGGGAGAGTCCAGTGGCTGATAGTTACTGGTACAGAAGGGCTTTAGTATTTTCAGAACTGCGTGTTCATGCCAGTGTGGCTGGGCCAAGGAACTCTTTCACAGCAAGAAGTCAGTCTATACAAACAAAAATGAAAATATGTCCTTGGAAAAAATCATAATGACTTCAACCTTTAATGTTCTCACAGTTTCTTTCTTTCTTTCTTTTTTAATCTTGAAGGGATATTTTAGGGGAAGTATCTTTTGTCTAGAGGAAATATTTGCATGAATTCAGCAATTCCATCAACCTCTTTTTCTTTTGCGGAATTCGAGTAAAATTAAATTTAAAATTGTGTCCTAAAAATAAAAATAAAACGGGGGGTGAGACGTTGTCATTAGGGACAAAGGAAAGGGATTCTCATCCTTGTGATCTGACTGTCGCATCTGCTTCGGAGACTCCACCCACATCTTTCTCTCCCAGCCTCCGCGCCAGCCCCCAGCGCAACAACAAAGGGTGCGATCTGTCCGATCACCAGGAGAGGGCGCGCCTGCCGCTCCAGCCCGGCCCTGCGCCTGCGCAATGTTGCGACGGAGAGGGTGCGGGGTGGGGGTGGGAGTGAGGAAGCCGCCCCGCCCCAGGTTGGGGATGCGCGTCAGAGATGCGCGCTGAGCGAGGCGAGTGGAGGGAGCCACGGAGGAGGGGACCCGCGCCTCCAGCTGTATCTTGTCCTCCCCTTCCGGGTCCAGACCATGTTCTTCGCAACGGGAAGGAGAACCCGCATGGAGACCGAGTGCTGGACACAATGCCCTCTTCCCCACCGTCCCCAGCATCTGTACCAGCCCTCCCCCAACCGACCATATTAGGAGGCACCAACCTGAGGACCTAAGTGTACCCAGAATCCTCCCCTCTTACTAGTGGACTTCAGTTCTCAAAGCGGTTCCTTGGCCCCGTGGCTGCCCAAAGCCATCAGTCCTGAGTCTGAGAATGTCACAGGCCATCCCTGGACAAACCGTTGAGTTTACAGAGAAGTGGGGTGGGGGAGCGAATGTAAAGAGGCGGTAGGTAATAAGGGTCGATGAGATACTGGAAGCACAAGTGCTTTGTAAGCTGTAAGGCAGTGGTTCTCAACCTTCCTAAAGCCGCGACCCTTTAATACAGTTCCTCATGTTGTGGTGACCCCCAACCATAAAATTATTTTCGTTGCTACTTCATAACTGTAATTTTGCTACTGTGATGAATCGTCA